TATATTTGTGAATGATTTTACCTTAAATTTTCGACAAAATGTCCCTTTGTAATAGCACATCTGTCTAGAAATCGATTTGGAATGTGTCCTTGGGCCCTTTAGCCATCTTTCTAGCAACTTTTCAGCAATTTCATTTTTTGGCCAAAATTGAAAAAAATGCAAGGGGTTAACCTTACATTTTTAGTCAAATTTGGCCAAAAATTGACTTTACTTCAAACAAGGCAGAAATTCATCTGGATGCAAGAGGAACATCAATCAATACTCTAACACGGACAATTGCGAAGATTTGGGCAAAAATCATCCATTTTTGGAGAAAAAGACATTATATTTGTGAGTGATTTTACCTTAAATTTTCGACGGAATTTCCCTTTGTAATAGCACATCTGTCCAGATATCGATTTGGAATGTGTCCTAGGGCCCCAAAGGCGTCTTTCCAGCAACTTTTTAAGCAATTTCATTTGTGGCCAAAATTGAATAAAATGCAAGGGGTTAACCTTACATTTTTAGTGAAATTTGGCCAAAAATTGACTTTTCTCCAAACAGGGCAGAAATTCATCTGGATGCAAAAGGAACATCAATCAATACTCTTACACGAATAATTTTGAAGATTTGGGCAAAAATCATTCATTTTGGGAGAAAAGGACATTAAACTTTTGAGTGATTTTACCTTAAATTTTCGACGGAGTTTCTCTTTCTAACAGCACAACTGTCAAGAAATTGATTTGGAATGTGTCCTAGGGCCCTTAAGGCATCTTTCCGGCAACTTTTCAGCAATTTCATTTTTGGGCCAAAATTTCCCTTTGTAATAGCACATCTGTCCAGCAATCGATTTGGAATGCGTTCTAGGGCCATTAAGGCATCTTTCCAGCAACTTTAAAGCAATTTTATTTTTTGGCCAAAATTGAAATTAATGCAAGGGGTTAACCTTACATTTTTAGTCACATTTGGCCAAAAATTTGGCTTTTTGGCCGAACATTTGGCCAAAAATGAGCAAGAGGAACATCAATGAGCACTCTTACACGCCCAATTTCGAAGATGTGGGCAAAAATCATCCATTTTGGGAGAGAAAGACATTTACCTTTTGAGTGATTTTACCTAATATTTTCGACGGAGTTTCTCTTTTGAATATCACATCTGTCCAGATTCGGAATGTGTCCAAGGGCCCTTAAGGTATCTTTCCAGCAAGAAGCAATTCTTTCTTTGGCCAAAATTGAAAAAAAATTAAGATTTGTGTGAAATTTTCACCCAAATTTCATTTTTAAGAGGTTAACCTTATCGCTTTTAATTTTCCCCAAAATGCCCCCAAAATTAATGTTTTTCCAAAACTTAGAATTCCATCCATACTACTTATTCATCCAAATCAGATTTGATTCGACTTTTGCAACCAATTTAATTTGGCAAGGTTAATAATTAACCTTATCAAAAATATTAAAATCTAATTTGGCGAAGATTTCATCCGAATTGATTCTGCAAGATGTTAACCTTAGTGTTAAGCTTCATTTGCTCAAAATTGGATTTTGCCAAAAAATCATCTGTTATTAGCAATAGGTTAAAATCATTTTGCAAATTTCGAGGAAAAAAGGTCCTATATAAGCATAATCATAACTTGCAGTAGTTAAATAAAACCTAAATCTTTCCAAGAAAATTTTTCTACATTCTTGTGCAAGCGGAAACAAAGAAAGCATATCAATTGGTTGTCTCAAAATATGCTTCCAAGAACTTTAAATATTTAATTTATTTTCCCCAAATTTAAAACGCAGGATATATGATTTCAGCAAACGAATCACGCCTATTCGCTCTTTTCACACTCCGCCATTGGGCATGCAGAGCCTCGATCTGGCAACTTTACGCAATAAAAATAGCCGGTTAAGTGATCTGAACCCCGACACGGGAATCACTCAACCGGTTATATCTATTGGGTAAAGTTGCCAGATCGAGGCTCTGCATGCCCATGGCGGAAGTTTGAAAAGAGCGAATTTCATTGCATGTTCCAATAGCAATAAATTGATATTTAAAAAAAAAATAAGTCACTTACATTAATACATATCGTGTTATTTTTGTAAAATTGTTTATGTACAAACCAAGTATATATTTGAAACGGTCCAGTTTCCTACTGCACCTTGATACAAGTTCACATTTACATGATGGCCACACACATAAATGTTTAAATCAAATAATCCTTGAAATTGTTAAAACTGCATAGACTTTATGTGTAGCAGACATGTTAGAGGACAGTGCCTGAGGGCAGTGCTGGGATACGCACGAGTGAACCTTTTGCAAATTCATTGTTACTGAATTAAAATAACAAAAGAATGTCCCCTAAGATGGCCGCCACGCACTATAAGAGAGTCGACTGGTTCAACTGTTTTCTGTAAATCATATTTATGGCACTTAATATTGTTCAATAAACAGCAGCGATTATATTGTTAAAATAGAATCATTTGGATTATAAATTGTGAGTGCCAACCACTAACAGGCTGAAAAATCAAAAACTTCATTTTTTAGGTTGATGGGAATGTGGAAAGCGAACAGCACCAGCTTTAAAATGACAATAAGGCAGTCCTACTTTCTGATGCAAAGTTATGATTTTTTACAAACCAAAATCACACTCAAAACCACAATCACAGTGTTTGTGATAAGTTCAAACTCTGTACACAGATAAACTAATGACACCATTCCTCCACCTGGAAATTCCAAAATCTTTACAACTGTCTTGAGCAGCTGTGATTATTTCATGACAAAAAAAAAATAAATCTAGCAAAAATTACAGTCAAAATGGCCTAATCACTCTTCGAGTCTTGGAGTGTAAGAGAACCCCCTCCCCCTAGAAAAACACACAATTCAATGCATAAAATGATATACAAACAACGAATGTTTATGAGTGCAATGGTAAGAATAATTTCATGTGGTGACAGATGGAATGTTCCATTTCACAAGGCGAAGCCGAGTGGAATGGAACATTCCATCTGTCACCGAATGAAATTATTCTTTCCATTGCACGAATTTGAAACACTCAATATTTGTTTTACACAATTTGTTTTACACAACACCACAATAAATCCTCGTCAGTGTGATGACCGTGCAATGGAACTTCTATTTACCGTGGAATAGAACTTCTATTTTTACCGTGTTGCCGCACCGTGCGTTGGGCTGAGTAATTCAATGACATGTGATCAACGACCCCCAATCAGATGACAGGGATTTATACAGGTGCTGTATACAATTGAATAAACAATTTCTTAAATACACATTCAATCAGTGTGTAGTTGGCAGTATATGTAATGGCAAAGCCTAATATATATTGAAAAGCTTTACAAGAAAAAAACAATCGAGTTTAGGTTATTGCATTTTCGTTTTATATTATTGCTTTTTATTTTTTAAACCACTTGGCGTTTAGGTTACAGATACAAAACGAGAATGCCCAAGGTAGCGTAAAGAGGAGCGCATGGCACATTCAACAAAAAATAAACTACAACCTGATCACAAAGAAAGAGAAACTGGCACAGGAAACATATGTATAATATTGTGGTTTTTGTTCAAATTTGATAATTTGTTTTGGTCCAACTCCATTACACACTTTTGAAACCAAATTAGTCATAAGCTTTTGTCATTTGCTCTAGCATTTGAAAAGTCATGATTCACTTTTTTCACTCACTACTTTTCCATGTGCAGTGGAAAGAACACACTCAGCTCTGCATTGTGAAGTATCCCTTGGTTTGTCATCTGAATATATGGGCCTTATTTATGAGTCGGCCATATTGGATTGAAAGTGAGGTAAAAATCTTGATTTTTGGACCTTGTGTAGAGAAATGAAAGCAAGTTAATTACTAATTAATTCCAGTCTGCTTCAATGAATAATTTCAAATTTGTGATTGAACGTTCTCTAATGCTTAAAGCCAGATTAAAAAACAAAATTACAGTAAAATAAGGCTGCATTGTGCCTGCAGAAATAGTCTGCCGCCATCCCATTCAACACTTAACAATTAATGAAATACATTCAGGGAACTCGACAAAAATGGACAAGGCCTGTGAATAAGCCCCATGAATCAATTTCTGTTGTGCATGATTTGTAAACAAGTTCGCAAATACTCCAAAGTAACCCTGGCAGCAAGTGACTCATTTTGTTGGGTCGGGTCGCGTATGTTGTCCTTACAAACATGAATGTGCTGAGTTACATTTTGTGCTGTGATAGACAGTGAAGACATGTGGCATGTCTGCAATGTGACAGGTCGACAGTGATTGTGCGACTTTCATTTTGCCCGAACTGCTGTTTGATCCAATTTCGACCCCTGCCATTCGTGCTGCACTCACTGCTCATGTCATGGTTGTCCACCAGCGTTGTAGTACTCGTACTCAATAATTACGCACAATGAACCATTTGCCGTGAGGCCGTATTCGGAAATGCGAGTACTCGCACTCATACTCGTACTCGCAAGTACAAGTACTCGTACTCGTACTCGCAAGTACAAGTACTCGTACTCGCAAGTACTCGTACTCGGAGACCCGTTCTTGTACTTGGAGGTACAAGTACTCGTACTCATACTCGGCAACCTCAGCACTCGGCAGTACTCGGTACTTGGAAAAAAGTACTCGACTACAACACTGTTGTCCACATGTAATAGGCCACAGCATTGACCACGATTTCTGACTGTCAGATTGGACTCCTACAGTCAGTGTTCAAGTTATGGTTGTCCACATGTAATAGGCCGAGGCGATAACCACAATTTTCCACCTGTCGAATTGGACCCCTGTGGTCCGTGCTCATGTTATGGTTGTCCACATGTAGTAGGCCGAGGCGATAACCACGATTTCCACCTGTCGAATTGGACCCCTGTGGTCTGTACTCATGTTATGGTTGTCCACATGTAGTAGGCCGAGGCGATAACCACGATTTCCACCTGTCGAATTGGACCCCTGTGGTCCGTGCTCATGTTATGGTTGTCCACATGTAGTAGGCCGAGGCGATAACCACGATTTCCACCTGTCGAATTCGATCCCTATGGTCTGTGCTCATGTTATGGTTGTCCACATGTAATAGGCCGAGGCGATAACCACGATTTCCACCTGTCGAATTGGACCCCTGTGGTCCGTGCTCATGTTATGGTTGTCCACATGTAGTAGGCCACGGCGTTGACCACGATTTCCACCTGCCGCTGTGTGGCCATCGCCTGCTGACCTCCAGACACGGAGGCCTCGCCGAGCTCTTGAGGATCCTCGCGATACAATGCCACAAGTTCCTGCAAGACGCAAAATGCGAACAGTCAACACAGATTCTTTTTGTCAAGTTTCAAATCAACTCCAATTTCAGTTTTATTTTAAAATATGGCAAACTTGTTTTGCCGACAGCTCATGAGTATTCTAGAAAAATGAGAGAAAAAAAGTTTGTTTTGTATTTCTGGTCTTATGAAAATAATTACTCCCAAAAAGGAGTTTCATTTTAAAAAATATAACAACAAAGTTTTTGATACACTCAGCCCTTGCAGCAGAGTTCTGGAGCCTTGTTATATGATGATTGTGACTTTTGACTTTCTTATTCTACAACAATAACAAACCTAGTCCCAGTTTCAAGGCCCTGCAAATTACAGAACTCTGCACTGACATCGCTAGCACAATAATTCAGTTCTAATACGCTCACACACCATTATCTGCTATATTACCACGGTACTTAGCAGGGCCATAAAACTAGAGGTAAAGTGGACGAACCTGTGTTAATAGGAAACACAGTGCCCATCTCTCTTTCATTAGCGATTGGGCCAGACTCATATGCTGCTGTGGGGGGATTGCCACACCTCCTCCACAGCGAGTCTGTTACCTTCCCAGCATTGAATAATGCCGGTACTCATTTAACACCTGGGTTGAGAGGAGTAATTGAGGTAAAGCGCCTTACTCAAGGGCACAACACGCATGGCCACAGTGGGGCTCGAACCCACAACCTCACGATCATGAATCCTGTGCTCCACCGCTAGACCACACGTGCCCACGTAAAACTAGGTGCTATTCAGCCCACATATTTCAAGGGGACGGTCTAGAAAAGGGCTGGCAAGATTCAAGTTCTGGGGACGGCATTTACACACTTATAAAAGAATAACCACTCTTCTGGTCCTTGAAACAAAGGTTTTTCACTTCTCCGATGCAACATCTATGTGCTGGTGGGGGATTCAGAGTGACTGGACAGGGTCCACTCACCGACATGTTTGCTTGTTTATCCACCGTCAGTAGGACCATCATGTCAGTGTGGTTGGGGTTGACTAAGGCCAGGTGGGTGACTAGTCCATCCTCGCTGGTGAAGAATCTAGGCAGAGAGGATAAACACAGGTATTGCTTCAGAGTGTGCATTCTGATATTACTTTTGGCTTGGAGCCAAGTCCATCACAAGCGAATCGCAAGTCAAATCACAAGACGGTCATAAGTCAAATCTCAAGACAGTCAAAGTCAAATCAAAAGACAGTCAAAGTCAAATCAAAAGACAGTCAAAGTCAAATCACAAGACAGTCTCAAGTCGAATCACAAGACGGTCAAAAGTCGGATCACAAGACAGTCACAAGTCAAATCATAATTCATTCATAAATACAATCACAACTCGGGTCTGGGTTAACTGAGGACGAATTATGGTAACGGAATGCCTTTGTTACAGTTCATTTAAAAAAATAATAATAGCTTTTGACTTAAAGAACCGAGACTGGATGACGTGGGATAAACTTGCGATTGACTTTTGCGACCCTGCTTTCATTACCCCATCTCACCCTTTTCCTTTAAATTCATCAAAGAGAAATATTTGTGTGGGGGCTTTATAGTAAAACTCTCTATTTGACAGGGTCAATAAAACCGTTGAACATTTACCAAATTTAATGCCTAGTTTTTGGCATGAAGTTCATTAAGCACTCGAGAGCCCGCCTAACATCGCTTAACATGAAACTCAGAGTCTGAATTTTTTGTGAAGTACACAAATGTGCCCTTTAAGTGATGCAAAAAAGTGTGTTTTTGGAAGCTCGTGGCAACACAAAATCCCTGGGGTTAGAAATCATTCAATATGACATAAGAACGGAGTCGTCCGTGGGTCGATTTAAGATCTTTTATAAACGAGTCCTCCTCTCACATTATGTAACATTTTGTTTTATTTCTCTCCTTTATATCTCTCCTTTATTTCTCTCCTTGTTTATTCACGTGTGAAGTCGTCATCGGTTTTTGAATTCATAATTTTTGTTCTTATTTTTTTGTTCTTTTTGCCGTTAGCTATCGTCGTGTAAGTCTTTTGTCTTGTCTGTCTCATCCGTGTGTTGTTATCATGTTGTTTTTCTGTTGTTATTGTTGTCTGTAAGGGCTGTTTCCTACAAGCCTCATCTTACTTAAACAGCCCCATACTCCTTAGTTTCTTTTGTACATAAATCGAAATAAGTTTAACATTTCTTCATAGCGTATCTTACTGGTATTAATTTTCTTTTTTTTTTGAGACATATTTATTGATTCTGTTATCTTGTTATTTACCAGTTTTCTTTTTTTATTGATGGATGTATTCTCTAAAGGAGTATGGAATAAATGTTTTCTTGAATTGAATTGAATATGAGTAACCAAATTTTGCGATTTCAGGTATTACATATGAATGAAGTGTGATGAATACAAGTCACATTACTTTCAAATGTCAAGCAGTGCTCATCAACCTGTTCTTACCTAGTCATCATGCTGAACTTGGCCCTGAGGAACCGAAGCAGGCCCTCGTACCAGGAGATACCATTACTGAGCAGGGGGAGCAGACTCTCGTCAATCTGAGTGAGGGGCACCTGATGGACGGTATCTAGGAGCACCTTGAACTCTGGGTAGGTCATGCGTAGAATTTGCTGCTGTTGGAGAAAAAAAAATCGTGGGTTACGGTTTCTGTGAAACAGCTCGAAAAGATTATGGATTCAAATGCCCCCTGAAGAGGGACAAAGCGAGAGAGAGACATGATGGATACTGAATGACAGTGTTGCAGTCGAGTCACTGGAGTTGAGTCCGAGTCTCAATTCACCTGGGTTGAGTCCGAGTCCAAGTTTCGAGTCATTTGGTTCAAGCGCAAGTCCGAGTCGCATTTGTACGAAATGATATACATAAATAGGCACACACCCATACTGAAATGTGTATCCTTGAGGAGACATTTTTTTGTTCTCGTGTAGTAAAGTTTTTGAGTTTGAAAGTGTAGTTTCGAAATGCTCTTATTTTAACCAGTATTAATTTCCTTGGCTGAAATTCGGACTCATATCCCTTTTCTAAAACTCTTTAATTTGCGACAAATCAACCAACCTTGGAAATTCCTAGTTTTTGAGTAAAATCCATATATTTATTTTGTGAAAACCTTGTGGAGACGTATTCATCTACAGAAATTGCCCTGCGGAGATGTATACAATGTTCAAGTTTGTTCCCTTTTGTGTGCATGTCTCCAGAGGGCACAGTGTATCAGATCATACACTTAGGCGATATGTAAGTGATGTGCTGTTGCGGGAAATAGGGAGGGCACATTTAACAGCAAACAGTACTAGTATTATTAACAACACCACCTGAAGAGTGGTGTGGCACATACGGTTGATGCGCTGAACGTTCTTTGGCATCACTTCAACGTTACTTTTGGAAAATAAATTTGTTTCTGTATCTGTATGGCTACGTTGCAGAAACCTATTCAGGCATTAGCGCAACGGAGTACTGAGGTACTCAATGCAGTGGGAGTTATGTCTATTGTTAAATGAATGAAGTACATGAGAGATATGAGACCCATTGTGTGGCACCAGAATTTACAAGGTGCTGCGGTCACTGCCAGAAACACCGGGGCGAACCCCTTCTCTTAGCGACAAGTGTTACTGGGTTCTTTAACGTGCATTACACAACACACGGGACCTACGGCTTTACGTCCCATCCGAAGGACGAAGCAATAATGGTAAAGTGCCTTGCTCAAGAGCACTTAAGCACCATGTTCCCACGGTCAGGATTTGAACCCATGTACCACGGCACACAAGTCGAACACCATAACCATTGGACCACAGCACCCCACAAAAATATGCCACTTATTAGTCACAAATTATTAGTGACAAGTCCTGTCCAGTCCAAATCCAATTTTTGAGTCTTTGCCGAGGTGACTCGAGTCAAGTCCAAGTTAACAAAATCGCAAATCGAAGAATGAAGAATGCTGACATTGTATTTCTAGGATCAGATTGGAGCGAAATCAAATCCCTCAATCCCCGCGAGATGGCCAAAGACCTCAGCTCTTTTAGGTTAACTCAGATCACTAGGTGACCATGAGAGAATCGACTGGAGCAGATTCAAACCTGCAACCTCTGTATTACTATGCCAGTGCTCTAACAACTGAATGATCCAGTTCTACTCCGGTGATGTCCCAATTTGTCAATGTCTTTGAAATCAATGCTTGTCAGCTGTATGCAGGCCCGTCGCCAGCCCTGAGCATCAAAGGGGGCCATAGTACCAACTAGGGGGCCCCACCACAAAAAAAAATACAAAAATACATATGTACGGCTTTTGCCGTTGGGGGGCCAATTGCTCGCCAATTGCTCGCCCCACCAGGCCCCCCCATCGGCGATGGGCCTGGCTGTACGCTGTGGGTCAGTGTAAAATCACCAACATACCAAGGGTTAAACAATACACCACCAATTTTCAAATTCAGCTTTGCTACCAGAAACAAAAAAAAACAGAGAGATAAAGACTTGTGTGTGAATGACAGGATGTCAAAGCTTTGAGTTTTTTCCCAAAGATTATGTCATTGAAAAGGCAAACGTTCTACATATTATATCTACAAAATGTAGCATTAAATTCTCCACACCCCCCCCCCCCCCACCGCCCACACCCCAACAAAATAAATAAACAAAAATACACAAGCACTGCTAAGGAAAACTCATATTAGCGATGGAAATTGTTAGCTAAAGCTCCGCTGCCAGTGAAAAAAAAGGATCAACCTTTAGAAAGTTGTACAATAAAACCTCCGATGCAAAATCAGTCTTTACCCTGACAGCATATGGAACATCCTGTTGAGAGAAATGATCAATGTTAAAAGGAAAACACTAGTCATATTTAACATTCGTTTTTGTGGGTTTTTTTTAAATTAACCCTAACTCACCAGCATAATTTACTAGGAACTGTACCCATTCAGGCAAATTCCAACACCCACAGAGGAAACTGTACACACACTGTTGGACTAAGTTTCTGGAGGCATGCCAAACCCAATGTAAAAGGGCATCAAAAGTCAGTTTTTGACCCAAAAATCCATTTTCACCAGATTTGCCCAAAAGTTCACACGAGCTGCCAAGAGGCCAGAATTGAACTCCGTGAAGACCATAACTCGTTTAATTCAGTATCCCATGAGAAAAAAAAATGTCATGACTGTTTACAAAATGCACCAGAAAATTCAACGTTTTCCATAGCCTGCATCATCGAAAAAGTCAGTTTTTGACCCAAAAATCCATTTTCACCAGATTTGCCTAAAAATTTACACAAGGTGCCTAGGGGCCAGAATTGAATTCCCTGAAGACAGCAACTCGTCAAATTCAGTATCCAGTGAAAAAAGGAAATTTTATGACTGTTTACAAAATTCACCAGAAAATTCAACGTTTTCCACAGCCGGCATCATCAAAAAAGTCAGTTTTTGACCAAAAAATCCATTTTCACCAGAGTTGCCCAAAGTTCACACGAGGAGCCTAGAGGCCAGAAATAAATTCCCTGAAGACTGCAACTCGTTAAATTCAGTATCCAGTGAGAAAAGGAAATTTTATGACTGTTTACGAAATGCACCAGCAAATTCAAACTTTTCCATAGCCCGCATCATCGAAAAAGTCAGTTCTTGACCCAAAAATCAATTTTCACAAGAGTTGCCCAAAAGTTCACAGAAGGTGCCTAGAGGCCAGAATTGAATTCCCTGAAGACTGCAACTCGTTAAATTCAGTATCCAGTGAGAAAAGAAAATTTTATGACTGTTTACAAAATGCACCAGAAAATTCAACGTTTTCCATAGCCGGCATCATGGAAAAAAACAAGTTTTTGACCAAAAAATCCATTTTCACGAGAGTTGCTGAAAAGTTCACACAAGGTGCCTAGAGGCCAGAATTGAATTCCCTGAAGACTGCAACTCATTACATTCAGTATCCAGTGAGAAAAGAAAATTTCATGACTGTTTACAAAATTCACCAGAAACTTCAACGTTTTCCTAGCCGGCATCATAGAAAAAGTCAGTTTTTGACTCAAAAATCCATTTTCAAAAGATTTGCCGAAAAGTTCACAAAAGGTGCCCAGAGGCCAGAAATGAATTCCCTGAAGACTGGAACTCGTTAAATTCAGTTTCTAGTGAGAAAAGGAAATTTTTTGACTGTTTACAAAATGCACCAGAAACTTCAACGTTTTCCATAACCGGCATCATTGAAAAAGTAAGTTTTTGACCAAAAAATCCATTTTCAAAAAATTTGCCAAAAAGCTCACACAAGGTGCCTAGAGGCCAGAACTGAATTCCCTGAAGACTGCAACTCGTTAAATTCAGTTTCTAGTGAGAAAAGGACATTTTATGACTGTTTACAAAATGCACCAGAAACTTCAACGTTTTCCATAGCTGGCATCATCGAAAAAGTCAGTTTTTGACCCAAAAATCCATTTTCAGCAGAGTTGCCCAAAATTTCACACAAGGTGCCTAGAGGCCAGAATTGAATTCCCTGAAGACTGCAACTCGTTAAATTCAGTATCCAGTGAGAAAAGGAAATTTTATGACTGTTTACAAAATGCACCAGAAACTTCAACGTTTTCCATAGCCGGCATCATCGAAAAAGTCAGTTTTTGACCCAAAAATCCATTTTCAAAAAATTTGCCAAAAAGTTCACACAAGGTGACTAGAGGCAAGAATTGAACTCCCTGAAGACTGCAACTCGCTCAATTCAGTATCCAGTGAGAAAAGGAAATGTTATGACTGTTTACAAAATTCACGGCATCATAGAAAAAGTCACTTTTTGACCCAAAAATCCATTTTCAAAAGATTTGCCGAAAAGTTCACAAAAGGTGAATAGAGGCCAGAAATGAATTCCCTGAAGACTGCAACTCGTTAAATTCAGTATCCAGTGAGAAAAGGAAATTTTATGACTGTTTACAAAATTCACCAGAAACTTCAACGTTTTCCATAGCCGGCATCATCGAAAAAGTCAGTTTTTGACCCAAAAATCCATTTTCACCAGTTGCCCAAAATTTCACACAAGGTGCCTAGAGGCCAAAATTGAATTCCCTGCAGTCTGCAACTCGTTAAATTCAGTATCCAGTGAGAAAAGGAAATGTAATGACTGTTTACAAAATGCACCAGAAACTTCAACGTTTTCCATAGCTGGCATCATAGAAAAAGTCACTTTTTGACCCAAAAATCCATTTTCACCAGAGTTGCCAAAAAGTTCACACAAGGTGCCTAGAGGCCAGAATAGAATTCCCTGAAGACTGCAACTCGTTAAATTCAGTATCCAGTGAGAAAAGAAAATTTTATGACTGTTTACAAAATTCACCAGAAACTTCAACGTTTTCCATAGCTGGCATCATCGAAAAAGTCAGTTTTTGACCCAAAAATCCATTTTCACCAGTTGCCCAAAATTTCACACAAGGTGCCTAGAGGCCAGAATTGAATTCCCTGCAGTCTGCAACTCGTTAAATTCAGTATCCAGTGAGAAAAGGAAATGTAATGACTGTTTACAAAATGCACCAGAAACTTCAACGTTTTCCATAGCCGGCATCATCAAAAAAGTCAGTTTTTGACCCAAAAATCCATTTTCACCAGAGTTGCCCAAAAGTTCACATGAGGTGCCTAGAGGCCAGAATTGAATTCCCTGAAGACAGCAACTCGTTAAATTCAGTATCCAGTGAGAAAAGGAATTGTTATTACTGTTTACAAAAGGCACCCAGAAACTCCAACGTTTTCCATAGCCGGCATCATCGAAAAAGTCAGTTTTTGACCCAAAAATCCAATTTCAAAAAATTTGCCAAAAAATTCACTCAAGGTGCCTAGAGGCCAGAATTGAACTCCCTGAAGACTGCAACTCGCTAAATTCAGTATCCAGTGAGAAAAGGAAATGTTATGACTGTTTACATAATGCACCAGAAACTTCAACGTTTTCCATAGCCGGCATCATCAAAAAAGTCAGTTTTTGACCCAAAAATCCGTTTTCAAAAAATTTTCCGAAAAGTTCACACAAGGTGCCTAGAGGCCAGAATTGAATTCCCTGAAGACTGCAACTCGTTAAATTCAGTATCCAGTGAGAAAGGGAAATGTTATGACTTTTTACAAAATGCACCAGAAACTTCAACGTTTTCCATAGCCGGCATCATCGAAAAAGTCAGTTTTTGACCCAAAAATCCATTTTCACCAGAGTTGCCCAAAAAGTTCACACAAGGTGCCTAGAGGCCAGAATTTAATTCCCTGAAGACTGCAACTCGCTAAATTCAGTATCCTGTAAGAAAGGGAAATGTTATGACTGTTTACAAAATGCACCAGAAACTTCAACGTTTTCCATAGCCGGCATCATCGAAAAAGTCAGTTTTTGACCCAAAAATCCGTTTTCAAAAAAATTGCCAAAAAGTTCACACAAGGTGCCTAGAGGCCAGAATTGAATTCCCTGAAGACTGCAACTCGTTAAATTCAGTATCCAGTGAGAAAAGGAAATTTTATGACTGTTTACAAAATTCACCAGAAACTTCAACGTTTTCCATAGCCGGCATCATCGAAAAAGTCAGTTTTTGACCCAAAAATCCGTTTTCACCAGAGTTGCCCACAAGTTCACAAGAGGTGCCTAGAGGCCATAATTGAATTCCCTGAAGACTGCAACTCGTTAAATTCAGTATCCAGTGAGAAAAGGAAATTTTATGACAGTTTACACAATGCACCAGAAACTTCAACGTTTTCCATAGCCGGCATCATCGAAAAAGTCAGTTTTTGACCCAAAAATCCATTTTCACCAGAGTTGCCCAAAAGTTCACACAAGGTGCCTAGAGGCCAGAATTGAATTCCCTGAAGACTGCAACTTGCTAAATTCAGTATCCAGTAAGAAAAGGAAATTTTATGACTGTTTACAAAATGCACCAGAAACTTCAATGTTTTCCATAGCCGGCATCATCGAAAAAGTCAGTTTTTGACCCAAAAACCATTTTGAAAAAAATTGCCCAAAAGTTCACAGAAGGTGCCTAGAGGCCAGAATTGATTTCCGTGAAGACTGCAACTCGTTAAATTCAGTATCCAGTGAGAAAGGGAAATTTTATGACTGTTTACAAAATGCACCAGAAACTTCAATGTTTTCCATAGCTGGCATCATCGAAAAAAAAATCAGTTTTTGACCCAAAAATCCGTTTTCAAAAAATTTGCCGAAAAGTTCACACGAGGTGCCTAGAGGCCAGAATTGAATTCCCTGAAGACTGCAACTCGTTAAATTCAGTATCCAGTGAGAAAGGGATATGTTATGACTGTTTACAAAATGCACCAGAAACTTCAACGTTTTCCATAGCCGGCATCATCGAAAAAGTCAGTTTTTGACCCAAAAATCCATTTTCAAAAGATTTGCCCAAAAGTTGACACAAGGTGCCTAGAGGCCAGAATTGATTTCCGTGAAGACTGCAACTCGTTAAATTCAGTATCCAGTGAGAAAGGGAAATTTTATGACTGTTTACAAAATGCACCAGAAACTTCAACGTTTTCCATAGCCGGCATCATCGAAAAAAAAATCAGTTTTTGACCCAAAAATCTGTTTTCAAAAAATTTGCCGAAAAGTTCACACGAGGTGCCTAGAGGCCAGAATTGAATTCCCTGAAGACTGCAACTCGTTAAATTCAGTATCCAGTGAGAAAGGGAAATGTTATGACTGTTTACAAAATGCACCAGAAACTTCAATGTTTTCCATAGCCGGCATCATCGAAAAAAAAATCACTTTTTGACCCAAAAATCCGTTTTCAAAAAAATTTGCCAGAAGTTCACACGAGGTGCCTAGAGGCCAGAATTGAATTCCC